ATGAGAATGATTTTTATCTCGTTTCCTTTGAAATGAACCATACCATTATTGGCAGAGAGTAGAATATTTAAATATTTCCTGGGTGTTCTTTCAAACTAGCCATAGAAAATGAACAAATGATTCATTTTCAGAAATGCTCTGAGCGTCTTTTACCAGGAATGTGGCTGACACGGATTCTCATATAGCTGGCTCCTTGTCATTGCCATCTCAGCTCAAATGTTACCTTTTAGAGAAGCCCTCCCTGTCTGAGTAATCATTCTTTTTCCCTCCTTCATAACAAAGTACAAGATAATAGTCTCATATTTTTTCTCCACCAGCAAAATGTTCCATGAGGGTAATGACCTTGCCTGTTTTGTTTACCACTGTGTTGTGTGTCTTATCCTGAAACAGGGGAGGCAATCAGTAATTATTTGCTTAATGAGTGAATAAACATTTGTTTCTTCTCAAATTGTTACATCTTTTTCTCTAAATGTCAGAGTAATCCTTTAAAATTTTTAGATTCTACTGAACTAAAGTTAAGTTTTCTAAAATAAGTATAGCGAAGGGAGGTCAGTGTAGCTGGAGTGAAACTAGTCAAGGGAGAGACTAGTAGGAGATGATATCAGAAGGCGGGAGGTCAAGGCCTTGTCTCATGTGGATTTTGTTTTTCACTCTTAATGATATGGGAGGCCATTAGAGGGTTTTGAATGAGAAGTGACACGATCTGACTTAGCTTCAAGAGTTACTCTGACTTCTGTGAGGTCTGTAGGAAACTGTAGGGATACCGAAGATGGCCTATTCTGGGCTCTCACATCTGTTCTATTGGCTGAGTTATTTATCTGTGCCAGAACCACCCTGCCTTAATTCCTATCACTCTATTATAATCCTCAACATATTCAGTATGGCATCCTGCCAGATCCTACCCTCAAAGCCTAGTGCTTTTATAACTTTTCTTATCATTCTTACTCTTTTCTTTCTCTTATTCTTTGCTGCTCATACTTGTAGTAGGAGGGTGTTGCTTCTACTTGGAACTCTGCCCTTCCATATATATTTTAAAATCAACTTGTCTTAATTCTTTAGAAAACCTTGTTGGGATTTCATAGATCAATATGGAAAGAATTGATACCTTTATAGTTTTGAATCTTCCTAACCATAAAATTTGGATAACTTATTTAGGTGTTTTTTGTCTTCGAGTAAAGTTACATATATATTTGAAAAGTGATCTTGAATATCTTTTGTTAAATCTTATGTGTTTTTTATTAATTATTGTAAACATGTTTTTTGTTTTTGTTTTCGTTTGAGACAAGGTCTGGCTCTGTTGTCCAGGCTGGAGTGCAATGGCGCAATCTTGGCTCACTGCAGCCCCTGCTTCCCAGGCTTAAACCATCCTCCCATCTCAGCCTCCAGAGTAGCTGGGACTACAGGCATGTGATCCACATCAGCTAATTTTTGTATTTTTTGTTGAGACGGGATTTTGCCATGTTGCCCAGGCCAGTCTCGTCAAATTGCTTCATGAACTCAAGCAGTCTGCTTGCCTCAGCCTCCCAAAGTGCTGGGATTACAGGTGTGAGCCACTGTGCCCCGCCCATAAACATGATTTTTAAAAATTGCATTTTCTGTTTCTTACAAATGATCTTTACAAATCTATTTGATAATTGTGTCTTAAGTTTATGTTCAGCTACCTTGCCAAATACTACTACTAATAATAATTCATGAATTCTTTTGAATTTTCTGTAAGGTAATAATGTCTGTAAATTCTGTTTTTGTTTCCCTCTTTTCAATCATACATTTCAGTCATTTATTGTTTCTTATTTTACTAAGGCAGCTGTAACCCATGAGGATGTTTTTGTTTTTTGTTTTTGAGACAGGATCTTGCTGTGTCACCCAGGTTGGAGTGCAGTGGTGCCATCATGGCTTACTGCAGCTTCGACATCCTGGCCTCAAGCAATCCTCCCACCTTACCCTCTGAGAGTAGCTGGGACTACAGATGTGTACCGCCACACCTACCTAATTTTTGTATTTTTTCTAGAGACAGGTTTTCATCATGTTTCCTAGGCTGGTCTTGAATTCTTGAGCATGAGTGATCCATCCACCTCAGCCTCACAAAGTGCTGGGATTATAGACATGAGCCACTGTGCCTGGCTAGGATGTTTAATACTAATGTTAATAAGTATTAATAACAGAACTCCTTGTCATGTTTTTGTTTGTTTTTTTTTGGAGACAGGGTCTCATGCTATTTATTGCTGAGGCTGGTGTCCAGTGGCATAGTCACGGCTCACTACAGCCTTGACCTCCTGGGCTCAAGTGATCCTCCCATCCCAGCTCCCACAACTATGCCCGCCAGGCTAGGTTTTTTTTTGTTTTTTTTTTTTTTTTTTTGGTAGAGACTGGATCTCCCTATGTTGCTTAGGCTGATCTCTAATTCCTGAGCTCAAGCAATCCTCCTACCTTGTCTTCCTAAAGTGCTGGGATTATTCACGTGAACCACCACCTCTAGCATATGTTCTTAAGTTTTAAAGGAACTGTGTCTCCTGTTTCACATTTAAGAATGATGTTTGGGCTGGACGCGGTGGCTCACACCTATAATCCCAGCACTTTGGGAGGGCGAGGCAGGCAGTTCACCTGAGGTCGGGAGTTCAAGACCAACCTGACCAACGTGGAGAAACCCCATTTTTATTAAAAATAGAAAACATTAGCTGGGCGTGGTGGCACATGCCTGTAATCCCAGCTACTCAGGACACTGAAGTAGGAGAATTTCTTGAACCTGGGAGGCGGAGGTTGCGGTGAGCCGAGATCGTCCCATTGCACTCCAGCCTGGGCAACAAGAGTGAAACTGTTTCAATTAAGAAAAAAAAAAAGAATGATGTTTGTTGTAGGTTTTTGTCAGATGCCCTTATCAGGATATGTATATTTTAAAATCACCTAATTGTGTATATATTGCTTTTTAGAAAACTTGCACCAATTTACATTCCTACCGTCATTGTGTGAAAGGGCACTTCTTGACAGTACTTATCCACATCACATGGGGTATTCTTGTTAAAAGTTTCAGATTTTACAGGCAGCGAGGAACTTCTTTACTTGTTTAGATTTATTTCTTCCTTTTAAAACAATATTTTGTGTTGTTACCAATGTTATTCTTCTTAGAGATACGATAGGTTTTTTGAAACAAAAGAACTTATTTTGAAAATATTTCAGATTTAGAGAAAAATTGCAAAAACCTTGCAAATAATTTTCTACTTCCTATATCCTTGACCTAGATTTTCCAAGTGTTAACTTTAATCATATTTGCTTTATCATTCTTTCTGTCTCTTTTTCTATTCTCCCATATACGGATGTAATTTTTCTCAGTGGTTTAAGTTGCAAACATGATGCCCCTTTAAAAACTTTAGTGCTATTTCTTCAAAATGAGAGCATTGTTTTATATAACCAAAGTACTAATAGGCAAATCAGAAAACTGACAACAGTACTGTAATCTATGAAATTTGAATTGTATCAGTTGTTCTTTATAGCAAAAAAAGAAAAAAATCTTTTTCTTATCCAGGATCTAATCCAGGATCATGCATTATATTTCATTGTCATATCTCTTAATCTTTAATCTGGAGTTGTCGCTTCTTGTTATTCAGTTGTTTCATGTCTTTCATGACCTTGACATTTTAAAAGAATATGGGCCAGTTATTTAGTAAAATGTCCCTCAACTTGGGCTTGTCTATTGCTTCTTGTGGTTAGATTCAGGTTTTGCATTTCTGGCAGGAATGCCACAGAAGTGGTGATGTGATGCATCCTATCAGGGGGCATATAATGTTGGTTTTGTCCTCTTATTGATGATGTTAACTTGATCATTTAATTAAGGTGGTGTCTGGCAGGATTCTTCAGTGTAAAATTACTATTGTTCTTCTTGTAATTAATAGGTATCTTGTGGGGAGATACTTTGAGATTAGATAATATCCTGTTTTCCATCAAACTTTCAACCACTAGTTTTAGCATATATTGATCATACTTGCTTGAAATAATTATTAACAAGATTGATTGCCAAATGACGATTTTCTAATTCCATCACTACATTTATTATTTGGAATTATAATCCCCAAAAGAGCTTTCTCTTCTCCCCCATTTATTTATGTCAGTAAGCACTTAAAAAAAATTATATGGGTTATAATCTGTTACTGTGCTTATTTATTTTGTTGCTCGAATATTCCCAGTTAGGCCACTGGGAGTCACATCAGTCTGATTCCTGTGTCCTTTTGAGGTACCCCTATCATTCTTTGAGCATTTCCTTTCTGGCTCCACAAAAATTATACCCTAGGCTCCTATTGTACGTCTCCTGCCCTAGCCTTGGAATCAGCCATTTCTTCAAGGAACCGTAGTTCCTTTTATTAGAGCACCAGCTGTGTTCATAGCTATAGGGGTATCATTGCTTCTAGGCCTTCTCAGCAGACGGAGCTAGGGAATATAGGTATGTGAGTGTATATTTACACAAAAATATTTATATCTTTCTATAGCCCTGTGTAAAAAAACTGAGCTTGTATTGTTAACTCCAACTCCAAGCCTCCTCCCTTTTTATATTTGTTACTCCCTTTTATGAGACTAAGAAACCAAGGTCAATATATTCACAGAATATTTACCTCTTTGCCCAATCTTAGCATACACACAAACAAGTTTCATGTCACTGTATAAAAGCAGGTATGTAAGTAGAGTATAGTATTTGTTTATAATTCTTTTTGTTTTTAGCCTTAGGAGAGTAGATAGTGAAAATGCTGTTTTCAAAAGTTACCTGTGGTTAATTCATTTGCCCTCATCCCCTAAAGTACGGTTATATTAATGATTTCAAATACAGAGAGGCTCATTTGTTTGTTTGTATTCGTTCCATTTTGGATTCTTCCCTCCTATTACTGTTGGTTTCTTCTTTATTTTAAATGTATAAAACATTAAAATGGATTGAAAATAACTAAAAAGGTAGGATAGGTTATTAGAGTACTGTAAATATAAAACTTATGGCTTTTAATTGTGTTTGTTTTTTTCAGGAAATCATTTAATACTTGATGATTAGAACAGATATGTGAAAGCTCCCACCAACCAGTGAGAATTTCTTCCTTCAGAAGGGTTTTTGTTCTTAACTGCACAGCTTTCTAAGAAGTTCTTTTGGTGCCATGTTTTATGGCTTGCATCAAAAGAGGAGTTTGTCTTCATGAAGATTCCTAACATTGGTAATGTGATGAATAAATTTGAGATCCTTGGGGTTGTAGGTGAAGGTAAGTTGGAATTTTTGTGTTCCTTGAGTTTGGAGCAATGAACAGTTAGTTAGTTGTTCCTACCACCAAAAAGTTACTAATCTTATTCCGTTAATTTAACCTGTATCAATTCACATGTGTGTCTGAGAGTACAATATTAAAAATAAAATTACTCTTAAACAATTTGGGTCTTACTCGCCAATAAAAAATTAATGACATTTTAAAACCCTTTAAAGTTTACTAAATCAAAGATTTTTTTCCCCTTTTCTTTTAAAAAGAGCCCCAGTGTTAAAACAGTCCTGACTGCCTTCATTCATTTTTTTTTTTTAGCAATCATGAGTTCCTTAGTCTACATTTTATTTTTATATCAGGTAGGCTTATTTTGAATAACTTAAATTTCATTTATTTATTTATTTATTTGAGACAGAGTCTCACTGTTACCCAGGGTGGAGTACAGTAGCATGGTCTCGGCCCACTGCAGCTTCTACCTCCCGGGTTCAAGCGATTCTCCTGCCTCAGCCTCCTGAGATTACAGGCCTGAGCCACTGTGCCCAACTAATTTTTGTATTTTCAGTAGAGGCTAGGTTTCACCATGTTGGCCAGGCTGGTCTTAAACTCCTGACCTCAGGTAATCTGCCTGCCTTGGCCTCCCAATATGCTGGGATTACAAGTGTGAGCCACTGTACGCAGCTGAATAACTTAAAATTTATTTGTATATGTTAAATTTTACTTAATACATGGTAGATGAATGAATAGCTTATGTTTCTTTGAAAAAGAGATTACATTTTATAAATTCTGAGGCACACAATTTTATCTCGGAAATCAGGATGTATCTTATAATCAGTATCATCTCATGGTTTAATTGACAGCACTCTTCCTTTCCTAATAGTACATAAAATAATGCCCACAACCAATGGAATACCATTGATTTGATGAAATATGATATCATTTTGTGTAAACTGACTCCTAAAAAAAATCGTTTCTTCCTGATTTTTCCTGCTTAGTAATTTTTGCTCTAGACTTAAAGATAACTTTGGAAATTTTGATAAATGATTCTGTTAACAGAGGACAAGTGATTATAATTATGGTTTCTCAGCACTTATATCTTTAAAACATGTTATAAAAATTTCATATTTCAGATTTTTGAAATAAACTTTGAATTCCTAAAGGACAGTAAAAAAGTTTACCTATGTGAACAGAAAGCTGTTATTAAGTTTTTAAGTTGGCAAATCCTTTTCAAATACATATAAACAATTAAATAGTTTAATCATTGGATGCTTGTTTCAAGGTCTGAAGTTCAAATCATGTAAAACAAATAGCTCTTTGTTCCTTACCTAGTCAACTCCTTTTCCATTTCTTCACTGATATTATATAAAAATTCATTCGCAGTGTCTTGCCTACCATCTGTTCTATAATGGCTGCCTCTTTTGTTTGTTTTATTTTTCAAAAGTATTAGAGTTAGAGACTAATGCAATAAAGCTGCTGACTGGAGAAGGCTAGCACATAGGGTGTAACAATGTTAGAATGTTCCAAATTCTGGGCCTAAGTTTTTCTAGATCATAACTTGTTTTTCTCAATATAGCCATAGGTGATTATCTTCTTTGGGACTGACTCAAAATTACCAGGCATATATATATATATATATATCAGAATATATTACTTTAAATTGTAATCAGAACCACCATTGCTGTATGTTTCTTTCTTTGGAAATCACCTCACATATTTTTTTGGCTAGGATATACATATAAAGTATATAAAACTCTGTCGCCGGACGTGGTGGCTCACGCCTGTAATCCCAGCACTTTGGGAGGCTGAGGTGGGTGGATCACGAGGTCAAGAGATCGCTATCATCCTGGCCAACATGGTGAAACCCCATCTTTACTAAAAATTCAAAAATTAGCTGGGCGTGGTGGCGTACGCCTGTAGTCCTAGCTACTCGAGAGGCTGAGGCAGGGG